GAGTGCTGGGTTGTGGTGGGGCTGCGAGCTGGCGCTGAGCGGTGCCGGCTCAGCTCGCGTCACTTCTCTACTTTCCCTTTCACCCCGACCTCGGATGCTGTGAGCGCCGTGTCCGGGGGCGTGCGGCACCCATCCGGCTGTCACCCACAGGGTGCAGGGCTTCCTCTGCCCTCCCTTTCTTTTTGGGGGGAAAAGATCTGACCGCTTCCATTGTGCAACCGGCTCAGCCAAGGGAGGAGGAGGAGGAGGAGGAGGAAAAGCACCTCTAGGGAAGAAGAGCCGCCGGGGCCCGGAGGTGCTGCTGCAGCTGAGCCCATCCTCGGCGGCGCGCGGCAGCGCAGGATGTTGCCCAGACAGGTTTGCAGAGCCACCGCAGCTGGCGCTCAGCCTTTCTGGGCTTCTGCCTCCTCCCCTCCGCCGCCCCGGCAGCACCCAGCTTTCATCTCCCCGTGCGGGGGCCTCGCGTTCGCTCGCCCGGGAGCCGCAGCCGCCCGGCTGCAAGCAAGTCGAAGTCTGCAGAGCTGAGCCCGGCCTGGCGGAGCAGGTTTAGCCGTGCCCTGGACCCGTCGGGAATTTCAGCGCCCGTCTCCCCGGGTGCCAGCAGGGCGTGCGGGCCGAGGTGTCACCCAGGCTTTGGTGAAAGCCCCAAGGAGAACAGATTTGCAGTCTCCTGCGTGGCAGGTCCAGGCTGCATGGGTCGGGGCAGGTAGCGTGCCCAGGGCTCCGGCAGCCGCCCCTCTGCGGGGCTGACCCCTTCCCAAAAAACACAGATGGCATCCGCCCTGGAGCTGGAGCGGGCTCAGGCTCGCGGGCCACAGGGCACGCTGCCACGGCCGTATGTTCAAAAGGAAATTTTGCTTTTCTTTGGCTCCGTGTCGCCCACCGCTCCCAAGGCCTCTCTTGCTGGGCTCCTCCGGGCCCTGAACGTGGAGGAGCTCAGGAGCTTTAGGACCTGGGTTCCCATTAGGGTTTGCTTAAAATCGGCCACTGAAGCTGGCGAGTAGACACAGCGATGGCACGGGCCCTTGGAAACCAGCCACAGGAGAGCAGGGCCCGGGGGGCTCCTCCTGCAGCTGCAGCTGCGCAGCCTCAGCCAGGAAACGTCCCCGGGGTCTGTGCGGGAGCCGTGGCCCCGCTGGGCGAGGACGGGGATGTCCCCGGCCAACGCTGCCTCCTCGAGCAGCAGATCCTGCCCGGAGCATCCTTTCCCCTTCCCCGGCTCCGCAGAAGCCGCTCACTGGTGCTGTGGGCTGTGTCCCACGGCTGCACCGGTGCCCCAGAGCCCTGGCAGGGACCACCCCTCCGGAGGGGCCATGGGCTGCATTTCCCATCCCCGGGAGGTGCTGCCTCGTCCCACGGTTACCCCTGCTTGCACCACAGAATCCCAGAATCCCAGACTGGCAGGGGTTGGCAGGGCCCTCCAGAGCTCACCCAGTGCCACCCCCCTGCCCAAGCAGGCTCACCCAGAGCAGGGGGCACAGGACAGCGTCCAGGCAGGGGTTGAAGATCTCCAGAGAAGGAGACTCCACAGCCCCCCTGGGCAGCCTGAGCCAGGGC